CTTTCCCTCTTGCCTCCCCTAGGGTCGCTGCACACGCTTTTGCTGGCTTGACGGCACTCCCTGGAATTTTGCATAGGGGGCTGCTGGCCAGCCCGGGGGCAGTGCTGGTAGATGTGTGACCCTGTGCACCTGAAGTGAGGTGGTGGGAGTGGGGATGAATAATGGCAAGACCTGGGAGGGAGGAGGCTCCAGGAAGAGCCAGACCCTGCAAAGGAGAGGCCCCCTGGCTCTTCAGACTCATCTCCACTGAGGTGTGGGGTAGGGAGAGGGGAAGGCCCTACTGGGGCTGAGTCAGGGAGAACAAGAGGCTGAGACCCCTTCCTGTTGCATCTTCACAGGAGGCCACTGGCGTCGAGCTCCCTGTGGTGTGGGTCTCCCATTCATCTGTTCCTACTGAGCTGGATCTTCCTGCGCAGCCTCCTCCCATCCCCTCCCCTCCAGCCCCCAGCAATAAAATTGTTTTCCTGAAACTGATTTCTTTTTCTTCCAACCATTGATCTACTCTGTTCAGCCCCACCCACGAGCTTTCTGCCAGTACAAGGACCACACCTCCCCACCCTACTGTCTTTCATAAAAAGGGACAGAAGCTATCACTCTCAAGGAGGATGGAGCATGGGGTGGGGTCTGTGTGGCCCTCTTGGAGACAGAGGAATGGGCTCAGGTGGCTCTTTTCATAGGACACCCAATTACCGGGCTCGTGCATTGCAGGTGCTGCCAGGACACCACGCATCTCTCTCCAAACTTTCAAGGTGAACTCTCAATGTACTGTATTTGCATCTCCACATCTGAGGGCCTTTCTTCCTCTCGCACAAACTGTGGTTGCCTTAATGTGCCAGGATATTAACTTGTCCCTGGGAACAGCCCACAGCTCTCAGGAGTGGGTGTATGAGTAGCCCAGTCCTTTGCCCCCTCAGGTGGAATAATTCTGGGGCAGGTATCGGGCACTGCTTCCCAGGGTTTCCCAGTGGGATTAACTTCCAGTTATAACACACATTTTATTGGCTGTCTTCTGTTCCTTCTCTTCCCTACTACTGTCCCAGCACCTCCCATAGAAACTACTTGCACTCAAATCCGTGCCTCAGGGTCTGTTTCCGGGGAATCTCAGTATGAGACAAACTGTTATATGTCCAACTCTACGTAAGGTTTGGGAATATGACAAGACACAGCTCCCTGCCATTCGGGAACGTACAGATGTTTGTAATACAAGCACACCAGCATCTACTAATTGTTACCGCTTATTGTGCACCCACAAAGTACCCCCTGCTGCGCCAGGCATCTTACAAAGATGACCTTGTTTGATCAGTAATTATTATCCCATTGTACAGAACCAGGCTCAGAGAAGTTATGACCTGTTTTTTTACCCAAGGCTGAACATCTAAATGTGACCCGTGCTGTGATTCAAGCATCTCCAGAGCATGTTCTTTCAACCATTAGGATTTCATGTCTGGAAGTGTTGGCTGCTTCCAGGACATGATCATATGGGGACAGAGCACAGAGGGGAGGCACGAGAGACTCATCTACCCTTGGGTTCATCTTGGGGCATTGGACTCCAACCCAGCTGGAGATGAGGGAGCCCGAATCAGAGGTGAGGAAGGAAGGCATTCTGAACCCTCCTTTTAATGGGGAGGTGAGCAGAAAGTAAGGCATCAATGCTCTGAAGCCCTTTTCCTCCAGGACTCCTCAAATTCTTAGAAGTACAGATGGCCCCAGGGATTCCATTCTATCTGGTGGCCCAGATAGAAGAGGCTACTTACTCAAGGTTGCACAGGAAGTTGAAAAAGATAGAAATCACACTGAGGTCCTTTGTAACTGCTGTTCTCTTGGTTTCAGTGACGGTGGAATTCTGACACACTCTTACAAGTTCAGTCCTGTGCTGGGTGCCGTGGAGGATGCACTGGGAGAACTTTCCCTCCTTGCCCTCATGGACTTTGTATTCTGGTGTGGGGAGGCGTTGCTTCTCTTTATTCCAGTACTACTAATAAAGAGTAACAAAATCCCTCATTTAATTGTTTATTGATCTTTATTGGAGTATAGCTGCTTTACAACGGTGTGTGAGTTTCTGCTGTACAGCAAAGTGAATTGGCCATACGTATACACACATCCCCTCTTTTTTTGTTTGTTTGTATTTTTGTGGTACGCTGGCCTCTCACTGCTGTGGTCTCTCCCGTTGCGGAGCACAGGCTCGGGACGCGCAGGCTCAGCGGCCGTGGCTCACGGGTCCAGCCGTTCCGCGGCATGTGGGATCTTCCCGGACCGGGGCACGAACCCGTGTCCCCTGCATCGGCAGGCGGACTCTCAACCAGTGTGCCACCAGGGAAGCCCCATCCCCTCTTTTTTAAAACCCCTCATGTATTAAGCACTAAATAGGTGCCAGGGTCTGTATCAAGAGACTTTGTGCTAAGGTGGAACCTTGTTTTATTCCTCACAAATCTCTCCTGTTGGCGGCGGTCTGTGACAGAAGTGTGACCTCCAGTCCACAAAGGTCTCCTTTGGGGGATTAATGTCAAGAAGGGGGCATGAAGGAGGCATTTGGGCTCCTGGTGACATTCTGTATCTTGACCTGGCCTGGGCTACGTGGGTGCATTCCCTCCGTGACAACGCCTCAAGCAGTCCATGCTACAGTGCACATTACAGGATGCATGTTAAAGATACATCCTCAAGAAAAGCTTTAAATGAAATAAGAGGACTGGCCTTATGTCCCCAAATAAGGGCTTGTGTGGTATTTTTCCTGTCCAAAATGATGCTAACTAAGCTCTGGGAAACTCAGCTCGTGTCTTTACTGTGGTATCCCTAGCGTTCCTTGCATCATCATGCAGGACACAGAGCAGGAGCTCAAGCAGCTCTCGGTGCTTACTTGTTGATTAGGGTCACAGTTCAGTCTCAGTTTCCTGACAAGGGCTACCCCCAGCTCCACATGCCAGGTACTGTTCTGAGGTCTTTACTGGAGCTGATCTCATTTGAGGTAGGTCCTGTCTTTAGCCTCGGTTTATGGATGGGAAAACTGAGACCCAGAGGGGCTGACTCTGGAATGGTGATTCCGTTCTATCAAGACATCACACTATGCTGCCCTCTGCATAATGTGGGGCTGGATGGAAATTTGAGACGAGAGGCAGAGTTTGAAACCCCTATGAATATAGATGCAAACAGTAAGCCAGAGAGTTGGCGTTTCATGGATGCTGAAAAGGTGGGCACCATTGGCTAGTCTGGGCGTAACGCATTTGGGTGAATCAAAGAAAGCAAGGATGTAAGAGTCAAACAGACTAGGGTCAGACATGCCACTTCTAACTAGTTGTGTGAGCTTGGGCAAGTTATTTCACCTCTCTGAGCTTGTGTGGTAGGTCTGCGCACTGGGATGGCAGTGTCTAATTGGCAGGGTGATTGTAAAGATTAAGTAAGTAGGATAATGGATGTGAAAGCCTTAATGAAGCACAGTGTTTGGAATGTGGTGGACCTTCAAAAATGTCATTTCCAGACTTCCCTGGCGGCCCAGTGGTTAAGACTCTGCGCTTCCACTGCAAGGGGCGTGGGTTCAATCCCTGATCGGGGAACTAAAATCCTGCTTGCTGCATGGCGCGGCCAAAAAAAAAAAAAAAAAGAGTTATTTCCAGTTTTACATCAGACATCACCGTGGTGACTCCCTGGGATGTCTTTGCCCCAGGTCAACCCCAGGGAGGGGCAGGGCAGAGAGAGGAGTAGAGGGAATGCAGGTGTGGGGTGACTAAGGAGCCGAAAGGTCTTGGTTTAGGCCTGCCTCTGATTTGCTGTGTAATCTTGGGTAACTTATTTAAGCTCTCTGAGATGCCGTTTCCTAATGTGTAATACAGGGACGTTTAAATGAAACAATGCTTGTAAAGCTTATCATGGTGCTGGCTAACGGGAGTAACCGACATTATTGGTCATCCCAACCACTGAGTGAAATGAGGCCCCTGGCCTGGGCCCCAGGACTGGGGAGAATAAGGGGGAGGGGCGCTAGCTTTCCACCCCTCCCCAGCTAGGGAAGTCTCCTGCTTGAACTCTGGAGACCAGGTTTTTGGGCCCTGGAATTAGCCAATCATCCCCCAAGTCAGGTAGATAAGCTGAGGGTTGCGTCCGTTGGGCCAGGGAGATAACGGCCGAGACCGTTACTCTGCATTCAGGCCCAGAAGTGACCTCTCAGACACTTCTCCATTTGTAGGTCCCCTGAGAGAGCAGAGGAGTGGAAGGAATCCAGGCTTTTTCACCCTCTGGTTGACCTGTCCCTGATGCCCTGAGCGCTGGAGGGCTGGGCTGGAATCCAAGGAACAAATATGCACTGCCCAGCTAGGATATCACAGAGTGGAGTCACCCACCCTGACAGGGCCACAAGCTCTTGGCAGTGATGTCTGGCAAAATCAAGGCTCAGCACTTGTTGGCCTGTCCTTGGATTGCAGTGAATGTGGCTGGAACTTGATTGATTAATATTTTGACGTTTTGTTCATCGTGGTAGCTTCACAAAGATTCTGATTTTTAAGAAAGATGGCATTAAATATTTATTTATCTTGACTACTGAGTTCTTTAGTGTCCCCTTAAATTTGCAACTGAGGCAAGTGCCTTCCCCTTAGTCCTGACCTTGGTCGTGACATAGGGCTGGTGGGAGATGGGGAGTCGGGGTGGTGCGGGGAGGCTGGCCCACAGAGCATCTGAATGACTCTGCATGACGGTTTCCACTCCAGCTGCTGCCTCCCCTCAGAAAGATATTCCTCAAGGTTGGACAAAATAGCATGTTCTAGATCAGTGATCCTCAACAGGGGTACTTTTTCTTTCCAGAGGACATTTGAAAATGTGTGGAGACATTTCTGAGTGACATGACCTGGGGAGGCACGGTTGACATCTAGTGGGTAGAGACCCAGAGATGCTGCTAAACTTTCTACAAGACACAGGGCTGCCCCTCCCCCAACCTTCAACAAAGAATGATCTGACTCCAAATAGTAATAGTGCAAGGGTTGAGAAACTTGATCTAGAGCCACAGCATAAAGGAAGGAGCATAAGTTTTTCACATATTAAAGATAAGAAAGAGATGGAGAGGGAGGGTGTGAGAGAGAGAGAGAGAGAGATGGGGTGGGTAGAGCATGTTGGGAGCCCCAAAGACTTAGAAATCTCAGTTCCCCCACTTCCTGCATAACCCTGGCAACTCACTTTCCCTCTCTGAATCTCATTTTTCACATCTGTGCAGTAGGGCTACTCATACATTCTCATGGGACTGAGGTTAGGAAGGTGAGGTTTCAAGGATGCAATGCACATAAAGTACTTGGTCTAGATAAGAGCTCAGAAGGGCTGAGGCTCCCCTTCATCTCCTACCTCCTATCCTGTGGTCTCCCTCTCCCTGGGATTCTCCACTTCATTTGCTGGAATATTGACCAGAGGAAGGCTGCTCCTACGGCTAAAGAGTATTTTTCAGACTGGGACGCTTTAGGGGTGCTGATAATCATGGCCGGACAGTAGTCATCTGGGGCTTTCTCGAGCATATACTAGGGTGTTTGGGCACCTGCATATGGCAGGAGGCAGGTCCCTGAAATCCCAGCAGAGAGCAGGGCCCAAGGGTGGGAGGACTGAGCAAACCTCTTATCAGCTCCACTGTCCCGCCCCCCAGCCCAAGCCTGGGGCAATCGTCCTGGCTTCTTCCCACTTCCCCAAAAGCCCAGTATAAGGGTTGCCTCTGGCACCCAGCAGCCAGAGGCACTGAGAGTGGAGGCTCCAGACTCTGAGGACGTAAGTGCTCGCTCGGCTGCCCGGGAAGGGGAGGTCCAGGGCTGGGGGAAGCAGGACCCTCTATGGCAAACACCTTGGAGGCATGTCCTTAGGGCCATAATGGCCACTATCCTTCCCCTTTCACCCCCAGTGTGAGTGAAATTGGCCCTCAGTGTGAGCAGACCTGTTCCCATGGCGGCTAGCATCTAAGCTGAGTGCTGCCCCAGGGAACAGTGATGGAGCTCTCAGGAAAAAGGGTCTTTTGGACTTGAGCTGACAACCCCCTGTTCTTTTCTTGATTCTCCAGCTCAGGGTCTGTTCACTGGGGGAGAAGGAAGCTCTCTAGTTTGCCCTTTAATCCACCAGTTAAGCAAACACTGCATCTCCATTGTGTGCCAGGGGCCGTGCAGACACGTGAGAAGTCCCCAAGGAGGGAAGGTGAAGCTGTGTCCCTGTCACAAGACTGAGGGGATATGAAATGCTCCCTGCTTCTGCCCCTTCTGCTGGGGACAGTTTCTGCTCTTTATCTGGGTAAGTCCTCCCCTTCCCTCCTCATCCATTTTTCTCTTTTCTCTTCTTTACTCCATCTGTTTTTGCTCTTGTGGGCCAGGGCCACAGCCTCCCCTCTTCAGCTGACCCAGCCCACCTCTAGTTAGAGTTCTCCTGGACTCAGAACGGTGACCTGAACTTTCCGTCAGGGCTCCTTTGCAAGGAAAAACACCCACCTGTGAAGATGAGGGCTTCTCACAGGTGCTGCCTCCCACTCCCAAAATACCCCACATGTGGTGTTAGCCAGGTTCTCATGCCTTTGGGTGTGTGATGCAAGAATTCTGGCTTGTCCAACCCCCAAGGGGTCCTTCCAGTCTTGGTTCCAGATGGCGTCCCTAGGAAGGCTGAGTGGGGCCATCAGAGCTGTCCGTGGTCCTGGAAGAACAGAGAGCCCGGACTGATGGCAGGTTACCTCTTCTTTCCAGAGAATGATGCCTCCCGTCTGGGCAGCAGAGAAACACAGGCTGACCTGACCCAGGATCTGGAAGGTTCTGGGGAACAGGAGGGAGAGCTGGCCCTGAATTATGGAGCGCTTGAGTCGGAGGGAGAGGACGCTGTGGCTCCCAGCTATCAAGATGCGTTTGAGGATGAGGGGGCCATGGAGTCAGACTCAGCTGCCCTAGACAAGGATTTGCAGTGCCCTAAGGAAGAGGACACAGTTCAGCTTCCAGGCAGCCCTGGGTGCAAGACCTGCCGCTTCCTGTTGGTGCAGACCCCGAGGGAGTTTTGGGACGCTCAGGTAAATGGCAGGGAGGATACTATGGGGGGCCAGGTGGAGGAGACAAGAGTGGAGCCAACCTTCTGTTCCCTGTCACTTGGATTAATGGTTCTCCAGGCCGAGTATGCATCAGAGTCTCCTAGAAGTCTCGTTAGAACACAGATTTCTGGGCCCCGTCTCCTCAATTTCTGATTTAGCAAGTCTGGGGCTTAAGAGTTTGCATTTATAACAAATTCACAGGTGGTGATATTGTCGGTCGGGAGACCGTACTTTGAGAACCACTGGTTGAGATAAAAAGCTTTGGTGTAAGATATGCCTGTGCTAAATCCTGGCTTTGCTTGTCGCCAGCCATTTTATTTGGGCAAGTCACTTCACCTTTCAGGGCTCCTGTATCTTCATTTGTAAAGTGGAGGTGTATGGTACCACCTCTTAGAGTTGTGGTGAGGATTTAAATAATACATGGCAAGTATTTAGAATAGTCCCTGGGTCATTGTAAACTCTCAGTGAATGGTGGCTGTAGTTATTCTGAGTATTATTATTCTTTTCTGCAAGAAGTTCCTGACACCAGATAAAGGAACAAAAGACGGGATTCAGGGGGGCAATAGATCCCTGATTTCTGACTTGGAAAGGGATGAGGGGGTCTCTCTCCTGGGGACTCAGGGACTTGAGAGAAAACAGTGAATTTTCTACCCCATCTCTTCTCTCTGCAGCATATATGCAGGAGGTGCTACCGAGGCAACCTCGTCTCCATCCACAGCTACAATTTCAACTACCGCATCCAGTGCTGGGTCAGTAGGGTTAACCAAGCACAGGTCTGGATCGGAGGCTTCGTCAAGGGCTGGGTAAGCGAGGGGTCAACTCCCAGGTACACGAAGGTCTTTCTGATTGCCTCAAGGGACCACCTGCTGGCATCAAGCCTCATCCCGGCAGCTGAAGCTGGCTCATACCGGCTTAGGAGAACTGATGATTGAGTGCCTCTCTTCCTAACTCCATGTTCAGTGGCTTCATGCTTGTAGCTTGAAATCTGCCATGGTGGATGTATTTACACCAAGGAAATTGACAATTATTACAGATCAGGTTTCTTTCTTCCCTCTAGCCTCTCACCTTCCCCCAAAGCTGGTTGTTAAACGTTTACCAGCACACTCCTGGCATCAGGAGATAGATTCTATATCTAGTTTGGTCCCTTACTAGCTGAATGACTGCCTCCAAATTTCAGTTTCCCCATCTCTAAAGTGGGGTCCTTCTCTCAGAGTGGCCTTGGGATTGTGGACAAATAAGGGCCATTATATTTGCTACTCAAGGGTGGTTCATGGACCAGCAGTACCAACATCACCCGGTAGCTCATTAGACATGCACGATCTTGGACCCCGCTCCAGACCTCCTGAATCAGAATCTGCATTTTTCACTAGATCCCTAGGAGACCTGTGTGCACAGTGAAGTTTGAGAAGCCTACTCTGTGTGATAGCCGGAAGTGATGTTTGCTTTTCCATTGTCGTTGCCTGCGAACCCTCAGGGATGGGTCTCAACGGTATCCTAGCCAGGTGGGCAGTGAGAGGAGATTATATATACAGTGTTCAGGAAGGGATACTCAGTGGGCTCTCTGGAGACCCAGAATCTGTCTGTCTCTCTGGACCTCCGCCCTCTGACCCAGCCTCTCTCTTCTCTAGTTCCGGTGCAAGAAATTTCACTGGACTGATGGCAGTAGCTGGAATTTTGGATACTGGGCCTCAGGGCAACCTGGGAATGGGAGAGGCCGCTGTGTGGCCCTGTGCACCAGAGGTGAGGGGGCCCGGGCACCAGGACAAGGGGAAGGGGTGGCAAGGTGGACTCCCACACATGTCCCTTTGAGCTGCCTGAACACACCTCCCCAAACCCACACCCTCCCTCCAACTGGAGAACCAATGTCTCTGTCTGTGAGGAGGGCTGGTAGGTAGGGATTCCTCAGAGCAAAACCAGGTGATGAGGCTCCCGGTACAGGGGCTAGATGGGGACTCTCCATCCTCCCAGGCAAAGCTAGGCTCAGGTCCTGGGGACTCCTTTCCTTCCTCTGATATGATGGCGACAAGGAGTGAATATGGGACAGATGGGAGGAACAGATGTGAATGTAAGGTGTGGATGAGGGATGAGGTGAAGATGCGGGAATTAAGGATGGCTGACATAATTTGCCAGCTTTGAACAGCATGGCTGCCAGATGTGAGGGAACTTATTACAGTGGCTGGACCATATGGGTTAGAGTAAGATGGCTGAGATTCACACCCCAGCTGTGCCACTTGCCAGCTGAGACACGGGCAAGTTATCACTCCCACTAAGCCTCAGTTTCCTCATCTGTGAAACGGGAGTGATGATAGCACTGACCTCTTGGAGAGTCATTGTGAGGATTAAACGATAGTCCATATAAAGCACTTAGCACATTGCCTCTGCAAGGGAAGAGATCAATGACTAGTCCGGATGTGTGGGAAACCTGTGGCCATCGGATCATGACTATGGCACGCAAAGATGACATATGAGGTGCCTGAGGAGGGGACGAGGGAGCACAGGCCACACTCAGGTGGGCAGCTGACATCACTGTGCTCTCTACCGCTAGGGGGTTTCTGGCAACGGGCTGGATGCAGAAGACGTCTGCCCTTCGTCTGCTCCTTCTAAGCCAGAGGCACGGAGATCCTCCCTTCACGCCCTCCTGGTGGCCTCTGTCCTACCCTTGGCACGTGTCCCCAGCCTCTCCGGATCATAAAGTCAGACTTCCAACAGCATCTCCTGACTCTTGTTTCTTCATTGAGCACTTCAGAGGAGTTGGACTCTGGGTTGGAAAATCCTGGAAGCATTCACTCCGGTTTCGTGGGGAGTGGGGTGGAACTTTGAGGAAAGTAAAAGATGTTGGAGTAGGGCACCGGATCGGGGAGTGGGGGTGCGGGGGGGGGGGGCGGGGGGGGCGGGGGAGGATGGGGGCTCAGCAGTGCTTCTGCAGGGGGCTGGGCTGGAGTGTGGAAGGCTCAGACCGTAAGTGGGGTGCTGGGAGTCGGGGCGCCGGGGTGTGTCTGCAGCGCCACCTGGGGGCGGAGCGCGTACCAGGCGGCGGTCCTTTTCGTTCCGGCTCCGAGGATTCCACAACCCCCCACCCCCGCGCGCCCCACCTGCCCCAGGTTCAGGGAGGAAGAACTCCTTTGGTGAGGGGGTGGGGAAGTGACCCTGTTGCTCTGTTTGGATTCAGTAAGGTGTGCGGGGCGGGGTGGGAGTGGCGGGGGTCCACAACAAAATGGAGGCTCTGTGGCCGATTCAAGAATTGGATGGACCATTGAGGTCCCACCTGGGGTAACCACGTAGTGGGGAAGAGAAAGTAGTCTCTCGGGGCAGCCGGCTTCTCGAGACCTGTGTCTTTTTCACTTATGATAATGGCCCCTATTTTCCACTCTCCCAGCCACCTGTGTGTGAGTTCAGAGGCCCCAACCTCTTCTGAGATGGTTCCCCACCCCATTCCCAGGAGGGTGGCTGTCCTCCTCACTGCGCCCCGAATCCTTCGTCACCTCCCCGGTCCCCAGCCTACCTCCCCTCCCTAGAGGGGCCTCATTCTCAGGAGGGAGCTGCCTCTCATCCCAGGGCCTTTTAAAAAATATATATACTTTTTAAATTTTTATTTTTGGCTGAGTTGGGTCTTCGTTGCTGCGTGAGGCCTTTCTCTGGTTGCAGAGACCAGGGGCTACTCTTCATTGCGGTGCGCGGGCTTCTCAGGCTCTAGGCTCGTGGGCTTCAGTAGTTGTGGCACACGAGCTCTAGAACGCAGACTCAGTAGTTGTGGCGCACGGGCTTAGTTGCCCTGCGGACTGTGGGATCTTCCCAGGCCAGGGCTCGAACCCGTGTGCCCTTCATTGGCCGGCGGGTTCTTAACCACTGCGCCAACAGGGAAGCCCCTCATCCCAGGGCCTTGGGGCCAAAGTCAGGGCATCTGTAGCTGTGTGGCTCTAATGCTGGCTCTATAGCCCCAGGTCTCCTCTGCTTCTCCCATTTTCTCAGATCCTGGGGACACTGAGAGAGAACACTGTTGCTGCCCTTAACTGTTCCAGGCTGGGCTCCAGGAAGGATCTGGGCTTGATGAAGCGAGAAACTCAGACTGGAAACTGCGTATTCAGAGGACAGAGAGCCCCGGGTTGTGAGAGAGAGAGAGGGATAGAAAGAGAGACTTCTTGGGGGTGTAGTTCTACATGGGGCACAGGGAGAATGGACAAGTATTTCTGGGGGCGCACACATACACGTGTGTATATGTATCTTGGTGTGTACAAGAGTCAGTCTTTGGATACCTGTGTATGTGTGAATCTATATTTGTAAATATGCATAAATCTGTGTGTGAGTCAGCATGTATTTATGTGTTGTGCGTACGTTTTATACATCTCTGTTTATGGATATGCCTGTATGTCTGTGTCCATCTTTGAGTGTGTGTATCTGTGTAGCTTTGTACCTTATACTCCTGAATCTGTATATGCCTACATATGTGTGTACCGCTGTGTCTTTGGCCAGTATCTTTGGGAGTATGTGTACATGTCAGTGTCTGAGCATAGCTGTGTACAGGTCTACCTTTGTGCATGTATGTGTGTGTGTATCTGTACAGCTATCTGATGAAATGTGGAGTTTTTTTTTTTTTAATAGATCTTTATTGGAGTTTACTTGCTTCACAATACTGTGTTAGTTTCTGTTGTACACCAAAGTGAATCAGTCATATGCATACATATGTCCCCATATCCCCTTCCTCATGAGCCTCCCTCCCACCATCCCTATCCCACCCCTCTAGGTCATCGTAAAGCACTGAGCTGATCTCCCTGTGCTATGCGGCTACTTCCCACTAGCTAACTATTTTACATTCGGTAGTGTATATATGTCGCTACTACTCTCACTTAGCCCCAGCTTCCCCCTCCCACCCCATGTCATCAAGTCCATTCTCTATGTCTACATCTTTTTTTTTTTTTAGCTTCCATATATATGTGTTAGCATACGGTATTTGTTTTTCTCTTTCTGACTTACTTCACTCTGTATGACAGACTCTAGGTCCATCCACCTCACTACAAATAACTCAATTTCGTTTCTTTTCATGGCCGAGTAATATCCCATGGTATATATGTGCCACATCTTCTTTATCCATTCATCTGTCAATGGACACTTAGGTTGCTTCCGTGTCCTGGCTATTGTATAGTGCTGCAATGAACATTGTGGTCCATGACTCTTTTTGAATTATGGTTTTCTCAGGGTATATGCCCAGTAGTGGGATTGCTGGGTCATATGGTAGTTCTATTTTTAGTTTTTTAAGGAACCTCCATACTGTTTTCCATAGTGGTTGTATCAATTTACATTCCCACCAGATGTGGAGTTTTTGGAACAGAAAATCCAGTTTTGCCAGATGTGCTTTGTTTCTAAAGATGCTGGAGTTGATGGAGCAGGACAGGATCGGAGAAACCCAGGGGAAGTGGCTGGTGATGAAGCAGCAGGGTTGAGCCCCTTGAACGTGAGCAGGGACAACAGGAGAAGGGGCCTTAACATTGCTGTGAACCTCACCAGTGCTGGGCCCCGGGAACTGCCTCTAGGTGAGGCCTGTCCTCAGTAGAGGGGTCTGTCCATCTGCCTTGGATGGAGATTGGGTCAGGAAGCTCCTAATCACAGCATGTCAGTCTCCCCAAGGGCATGGAAGGGGGGCTGCCTTGAGGTCAGGCCCCCACCCAAGTCCCTGCACTGTGTACCGCAACAAGCTAATCTTTTTTTTTAATTAATTAATTTATTTTTGCTGTGTTGGGTCTTTGTTGCTGTGCGAGGGCTTTCTCTAGTTGTGGCGAGCGGGGGCCACTCTTCATCGCGGTGCGTGGGCCTCTCACTGTCGCGGCCTCTCTTGTTGCGGAGCACAGGCTCCAGACGCGCAGGCTCAGTAGTTGTGGCTCACGGGCCCAGTTGCTCCGCGGCATGTGGGATCTTCCCAGACCAGGGCTCGAACCCGTGTCCCCTGCATTGGCAGGCAGATTCTCAACCACTGCACCACCAGGGAAGGCCCCAACAAACTAATCTTGATGCTGTACTTCTAAAAGCAGCAGAAGCAGCGGGGGTTGGGAAGGATGAGCTCTGCACAGGTAGCTCTGGGACTGGTATTTCTGGGAATTGCTGAATGGCAAGCCCCCTCTTATCAGCCTCCACTTATCTCCTTGGTGGGGAATGGGCTCTAGCTAATCCCAGTAACCAAATATACTGCCAGCCAAGGCCAGAGGTAGAGGGAGGGAGGAGAAAGGGGTGGGGTAGGGTGGTGCTCAGACCCTTCCAGACTGAAGCTTGCTTGAGGCAGGCCAGGGTAGAAAAGATGTCCTTCAAATATCTGGTGCTGTCTGTTAGTGGGCCTCAGCTTCAACCATTATATATTCTTTCCTTTGGCTGTTTAAGGCCTTTCAGACTTGAAGCCCTTGATTAAAAAGCAAATATTCTTAGGACAAGAAACGCCTGAGTGTGTTGTCTATTAATACCTCTGGAAGATTGATTGGTAACTTGCCGAGAACAAGGTTTTGTGAGGAGGAACACAGAAGGGAAAAATGTGTGTAACTGTTAGTGTGCATGGGCGGGGGGTTGTGGAGAAGAAAAGCTATTAAAAAGGAGGTAATGAAGCAGAGAGTGCTGTGCTCACAGTTTTCTCTTCCTGGGGACCTAGGAAGACTACATTCCCCAGTATTCCTTGCAGTAAACCTGGGCTCTGCAGCGTGATACCGAGTCTGGCCAGTGCAATGTGGTTGGATGTGATATAAAGGCCAGACCTGGCCTTTATATGCTCCCCTATGATCATCCATGATCCTCCAGTTCTCACTTTCCTTGCCACAGTGATCTGGGGGTCCATGTATCTCAGATGGCATAGCTGCCAGGTGGAAGGGGCTGACTGACCTACGTTGTATTAAATCCTGAGATTTCACAATTAACTTGTTACTGCACCAAAATCTGCTTTGGCCTAACACACATAGAAAAGAAGGTGCCAACAGATTTCTTAGTTTTTCCCAGGCAGATATGGCCCAGCAGTCAAGATCCCAGACTCTGGAGTCATAACGGTCTGGGTTCAAGTCCCAGGTCTACCACTTCAGTTTTAAAACCTTACTCAGCCTCAGTTTCTTCTATAAAATGAGGGTTGAATGAAACAATGCCTGTCACACATTTAACTCATTGCTTGGCGATGGTGAGAGTTATCACTAAATGTTAGCTTTGATGCTGAGCTGTTAGGAATGAGTGTGGGTTTCAGGTCAAATGTCCATGTATTGCAAATTTCTTTTTCTATTTCTAGGATTAATGACAAACCATAGCAAGCTTACCAGGGTTGGTGTGAGGGGTCACGTGATTATGTTGGTGATTGTGCTGAGTACACGTGATGCGGCGGAGCTGAGTTAGTTACTGGTATTACTAGTGAGATCAGCCCTAAGTCTTGCACAGGGAGCCATAACCTAGTTCAGCCGCGGGGAAGACAACATCGGGCTCACACGTACAGGAGCTCAGGCTGGGGATGGGCTGGCAGTCTCAGGACGGGCTGATGCGCCCGTAGGAGGACCACCCCAGTCTGGAGGAAAGGGTCCCTGCAGGACAGAGCTGCCTCTGTCTCCTCCTCAGAGAGCATCCCTGTGACCCCAGCCTCAGCCCATCCTCCC